TGTATTTTCTGATTCCGAACCCAGCCCAACCTAAGCCTTCTGTCCAGACTTTACTTAAACTACTTTGTCAATGTGAGCCTGTTATTTACTTAACTTAAGCTATCTTCCGAGTTTCGACTTTGTGGTTCTCATTAATCGAGTCATTTCTCGCGAAAGAATTAATCTGAATTTTTGAATTATTATTAAAATTATTACTAAATTTCCCATCAATCTTATTCTTCAGTCAAGTGCATACTATTCCCGTGTAACTTTGTTCTTAATGTAACGTAACGAACCGTTTCTTTTATCAACTATTGTATTTTATTTTCAAAATATTTAATTTTTATAGTCACGTGACAATATTATTAAACGAAATAAAACTTAATACGCATGGACTTTATTTATTTGAACCAAATTTTAGTCATCACCTAATTAAAAGAACTCTTGCTTCGTACCTAAACTCTTGTTATATTAAATTAATTGTCTCACAACAAGTTTATACGTATAAACGAATTTCTATGTACATGATATTTGGATTCGATTAATTATATATTAAATTATATATCAATTATATTAAACGTCAGAATAATTACAGCATCTGTAGCAAGTATAAGTAACCTAAAACTTAGTAAATGCTATTCTTCCGTCATTTCACTTGACGTAGTTCTGTTTCTTGCACGACGAGATCCACCCACCCTTACGCAAGCGTATTTTTACATCGACGAACGCCAACATTTCTCCAACGAGGGAATTGCCGGACATATTGCACATCCGTGCTATTTGTTTTCCTTCTGACATACGTATGTACGTATTTACAAACTGGGCTGTCACGACCATTGCCTCATCGCCTCGGCGTCGTTGTAAAACGCGTTCGCGTGACAGGGTTTTCTAGCCAGCCGACGTAGGTGGACTCTCTAGGCCCGGTCCGCGGATTCGACCATAAACACACGGTTACATTATGTAAACCCCGCGTTTCCTCGCGCGGCTCCTTCTTACGTAAACATGCGAAAATTATGTAATGAAACGCGATCCGCGAGACGTCGGATGATGACACATCGAACTGGAGATTCGTCGTTAGAGGTGGCGTGTGCTAAATACAGTGAAAGTCGCTCGCCAGGGAGGCGTTCCGGCTGCAAGCTTGTGTCACTTTGACAAGTACGTTCGACCGTTTCTAACAACGATAAATGGTGATCTAACGATCGTGTAGAGATCGATCGAACCGTACATGTCGCACGGGTGACTTCGAGGCTTTCTCACGTTTTGCGTTTCATCCCTCTCTTTTGATCCAGAGTGTCTTCGTGACTCTTCAAATTCGAATCGTAGGAATCATCGAGAATTTATTCACACTTTCCACTGTTACGTGCTTATCGTATATTCGTCTCTATCGAATCGCGCCGCTCTTAGTATAGAATGGTAATTCATGGAATAATTCAATCATAATCTCGTGGTATTAGAAATCTCGTGGTATTTAGGGGAATTACAGAGTTTCGAGGATTACTTGTTGAATTGAATCAGAACTTGTAATTCATCTCTGATAGGTATCGTAACGGAGATTAATTTTCTCATTTTTCGTCTAATTATTTCGTTGCTAATAACTCTCGAGCTATGCAACACTTGTTGTGATAGAACATCAATGTGATAGTTGTTCGTTCTAATCGAGATGAAGTTTAAGAACGAATGCAATAGCTCCCAGGTGACAGTTTTACTGGCCCACTGATCAGCAATAAATTTTAATCTATACTCTTTTCTTACCGTGATCGGTTAGGCAATAGCAATTGTTTACGAAATTGCTACGGGAATCGAGAAAGAACGAAAAAGCAGCTTCACTCATCGCTCTCGTCGATTTTATGAATCTTTTTCTCGTCAACGAGAGCTTATTGCGAGCCCGGGGATCGATTACTAAAATACCGTTGCAACAGGATTCCTTTTCAAGCGAATCGCGCTTTGTTTTATCGATCGATCAGTACCAATCGGTCACCAGTACTTCACTGCCTCGAGGAACATAAGTCACGGTAATTATTACGTTTTAACTCTTCTCGATCGTGAAGAAGAAGAATATTCACGGTCCTCCAGAAGAAATTTCTCCAACAGGGCACTACATTGCGAACTTTTATATGAAAACGTTGATCGATCGATTGTACAGCGATTTGCATACACTTTCGAGGAAATGTCAACGTAAGTGCGCATCCAGATGCGCAGTAACGATCGAAGTAACGCGAAGTTTGTCGCACGGTTTGATGGTTTAAAATAATTTACGATCAAAGTCACATTTGTCTTCTCGACTCAGCGAAAGATGATTCGTTCAGTAACAACAGTTTTCGCAGTCTGTTAACTCGCTTAACGTATTCGACAAAAAAAAAAAAAGGAAGGGAAAATTGAAACTTGTAGTGAAATTTTTTGCTGTTACACGTTATTTTCCATCCTGGTCGTGAAATATTGCCGTCGCTCGTTCCGACCGCGAAAGTCACGATACAGTTTGGACAAATGGTAGCTTTCAAGCTCGCACGCTGGGTTCAAAGTTTTGTAGATGCTTGGCGGCTGTCTAGGAAAAAAAGTTCACATACCGAGCGAGCGGCATAATTCATCCGCGAGGAATTTTTACGTCACGATGCCTGTTCGGTGCTCGGTCGTAAATAATGCACGCGTATGCTAGTCGTGGACGGGGCCACCTGGCGTGCGACTGGATAGAACATTGAATTCACAATACTATAACCCTTAAAGCACAGTGACTATAATTGCGTAGGGTTGTTAAGTATCGAGAAACGATTGTTGCGTCAGTTCGTCGTTCAGGCTTGCAAAACTAATTAAATCAATCACAAAGTGAAGAATTTTATTAATTACCTTGCCGGATTGTACGAATTGTAATAAGAAATAGATTAGCAATTCTAGTAGGTGTTTTTATGTTAAGAATAATAATTAATAAAGAAGATTATTTTAGTACTAAAAAGTGGTAGTATCTATTATATTATTACAATGTACGTTTTTTTTTATGAATTCTGACTAGAGTGCGTGTGTTTATGCAAATTCATACTTGGAATGAAAAAAATGGCACTTTGATAAAAATTCCTTTATCAAGTACTTTGAACATTTTATACCCATATTTGCAGTGTGTTTTGTATTTTTTAAATTATTTCGATAGCATGCAGTAACGGCAATGAAAATAACTCTGAAAGTCATTTCTATGCTCGAGTAGAAAATTCGTTGTTTAACAGACGATACAATCATTGTTGAACAAAAGATATACGTGTATAAGCTTTCGAATTTTTCGAGCGTTTAGTATCTTTTTATTACAACTTTCTCCACTTTCCATCAATTTCGCCGCGATAAAATATCGAACACCCATTTCGTAATAACAGATTTTCCGTTTTCATAGCAAGTTCCACGCGATATCGGCGTTTTTCACCGCGCCGCGCGGCGACAGACGAATACGGCGAGGCAAACGTACCGCGTTACTCATTTCGATTTGGCGAACGTTATCCTAGATACGAGAATTCTAGTGCCGCGCTGCGAAAGCTACGCAATCCGAAATTCCTTTACATTTTTTTCAACGATCTTGAGCTGGCAATTTGCTTTCTTTTTTTCTACCGAAATGGAACCGGTTCGTAAAAGCGCGATTTATCTCGGCTTGATGATTTTCAATCGAAGTCACCGTCCAATTATCTCCGTTAAAATTCCAAACCTCCTTTCGATTTCATACAGCGACAGGTTACGCGCGAATAAATCGCACGCGATCGAATTTTGTTCGACGAAAGCCAAGTGGAAAACGTGGATATTAGAAGTTTCGCGAAAGCCAGCCAAGCATTTGCGCATGAATATTTCATAGAGAACCGGGACGAAATGCGGTCGGTTGATACGTCCGAAACGGTAGCAACAGAAAGGTAAATTGCGAGTACAAAGGTGTTCCATAATCAGGTTTTCGAGTAGCCAGAGGCCGTGGCATCCACGTTGTGAAAACTGCTCGCGAAAGTCGCTCGAGCGTCGCGATAATTAAAGGGAAAATGCAGCGCGAGGTGTGCTGCTAATGCGACCATCAAATTAATCGTTGTTCTCATTCCGCACCACGCGCCTCGCGGTTGTGTTTCTTTCGGTTCGTAATCGTCGTAATTAATGAGTTAATCGCACTTTGTAATTTCTGCTAGTAACGATCCCATTGAGTAACGATACACGATCGCGCTTCAGTTTCGACGACGGTGACGTTCTTTTTCTTCTTTTTCAACGTTTCAGGACAGGGCTGAAGCGTACTGGTTCATTGGACAATGAAATCCTCGTCATTATGAATAACCTAACAACTACCTTGACTCTCGCGAGAATTCGCATCCGTGCCCGGGAGTAATTTCTCGAATCGCGAATCGCGTTTACTCCGCGCACTTTCGTAACATCAGACCGACGAGCACGGCCGAGATAAACGATCGTTTTTAGAAACTATGAATGCGCATTAGAAGCCGGCAGTTGGGTTTTAATCGTCTCTATTTTTCCTTATACATAAATCAAAAAAATCTAACTTTTACACGCATCGTGTGATACGCACGGGAGAAAACCTTTCGAATTTTTTGTCGATCTCTCGTTACTTTCTTCTTCGTTGCACGCTTGTTTCATTTATCGTCGTAATGGTAGCGTTGAAACGACATTAGACGCCATATTGCACGCGTATACCGTACTGCAATTGCGATAACTGTTATAGTTACGAAGTGCCGTATCGTTGAAACGTGTATTTACCTACTATAAATAGCAATAGGTGCAACGTTTTTTGTCCGCTGTTAATTATCTACATCTGCTATACCGTATCTTACGCTCGTTCGATTTAAGTATGCAGTATTTCTGAGTGTTATGTATTATATCGGGGAAAACGAGCGAAAAAATACTTTCCAGTTCCTCTTCCTCTTCCTCTTCTTCTTCTTTTTCTTCTTCTTTAATTTAATGGATATGGCGGTATAAATTGTTGATGTACACATTTACATATATTCAAGCTGTCAAGTTTAAACGTGAATTTCTCACTTTAATTTCGTACGATCGATTCACAGACGTGGTAGACGATCAGACACCAGCGTCTTCTTTTTGGACTCCAACCATCAAAACGGGCAACATCTTCACCGACGACAGCACCAATTTTTTCCCCTCGAGTCACGGCCTTGTGCAGACCCATCCGACTGGTAACGTATTCCGAAGCGGTTTCGGCGGAATCGACAATCTTGGTAGTCGGGGGGTCACTGTCAGACCACCAAGGACGAGACCCCTCGACTACAGCGAACGATCCACGGCCGAATTGCGACGAAATCCGGCGCTTTCCTCGCCGGACGAGTGTGCCAGAGCTTGCCGGGAGAACGAACCTCCTAGGATATGCTATTACCACTTCACCCTCGAGTATTACACTGTACTTGGAGCGTGAGTATCTTTCATCCTTGGAGAAATTTATATGAAACGAAATTTGAAAATCTTATTCGATATCTTAACTGCAGAAACGAGGGCAGGAATAATTGGGGGAGGAAAATTCGAGTAGAAGTATAAATTGAATTAAGACTTAAATTTATAATGAATAAAAAATTGAATTAATAACAAAAATCAAGAATTAAAGTAACGATAAAGCAAGCTAGGGAAATGAAACTGAGAACAATAGAGATTTGAATTTAAATTTCAAATTTCTCAAGCTGCCAAAAACCTTGGTTTTCACAATTTTTGTGTCTTTGCGTGATTTTACAGCGCGTGCCAAATATGCACACCGAACGCGACCAACGTCGTCTGGAGTGACTGCCAATGCGTGTTAGCGGACGGCGTGGAACGAGGTATTTTAACAGCGAACAGGATGGTTCCCGGCCCGAGCATTCAAGTTTGTCAAAATGACAAGGTCGTGGTCGACGTGGAGAATCACATCGAAGGTATGGAAGTTACCATTCATTGGCACGGTGTGTGGCAAAGAGGAACCCAGTACTACGATGGTGTACCATTTGTAACGCAATGCCCTATACAGGAAGGCAGCACGTTCAGGTAACGAGAAATTAATTTTGCTCTCTCGTTACGTTCCTCTTCCAAATTTTCTTGATAAATTCATTACATATCGATGTTTGTAACGCGTAGATATCAATGGACAGCTGGAAACGAAGGTACGCATTTCTGGCACGCTCACACAGGATTGCAGAAAATAGACGGTCTCTACGGAAGTATCGTGATACGTCAACCGCCGAGCAAAGATCCTAATAGCAACCTTTACGACTACGATCTGACTACCCATGTTATTCTTCTTAGCGATTGGTTCCATGAGAACGCGGCCGAGCGTTTCCCTGGTCGTCTGGCAGTTAACACCGGTCAAGCGCCTGAAAGTGTATTGATCAACGGAAAGGGACAATTCAGGGTATGATTCGCCTACATGTTATCACTGTGATTTTATCTAAATATCTAAATTGTATTCGTCTTAATTTTTATTAATCGATTAACCATCAATATATAAACGTTCCGTCCTTTTGAGTATTTTACATTTCAGTGATTTTTGCAGCTACATATTTTTTTTCGTGTCTATTACTAAGTATCCTCACTCCTATTGTTAACCATCGGTATATATAAACTTTCTGTTTCTTTGGTGATCTTACATTTCGATCTCCGAAATTTGTTGCAAATTATTTACAGCTACATATTTTTTTTCATTTTTTTCTTCTCACATCTATTACCAATCATCCTCACTCCTCCTCTAGATTCTGACAAGTCTCACGACCTGAAACAAAAACTTCGTCAGGAATATAAATTTCTAAATCACTTCCACAAACTCTCATCGCACATTTCAGTCTCTGATTCAGATTTATTCGAGAAAGAATTCCGAATTTCCATTAACATTGCGAGACACTCCAGAACTCGTGTTTTTTGTCCGCAGGATCCGAACACCGGTTTCATGACGAATACACCCCTGGAGATATTCACCATAACTCCCGGCCGCCGTTATCGTTTCCGACTGATCAACTCATTCGGATCGGTCTGTCCGTCGCAGATCACGTTCGAAGGTCACACCCTCACCATAATCGCAACCGACGGCGAAGCAGTGCAACCGGTCGCCGTGGACACGATCATCTCGTTCTCTGGTAAAAATCGTTTAATCCCGATCGCTCGATCCTTTGACCATGCTTCGCGAGGTCGGAGGGAAAGCTTGCTCGCTTTTATCCTTTAGACTTGAATTGGGGTACAGTTGTGAAAGTAAAATACCGACTCGGATGATTTACAGGCGAACGATACGACTTTGTAATAAATGCGGATCAACCGGTTGGCGCGTATTGGATTCAAGTTCGTGCGCTTGGCGAATGCGGTATTCCGCGTGCCCAACAGCTAGGCATACTGCGATACGCTCGCGGACCTTACCAACCATCCACCACCGCACCCACTTACGATTTTGGTCTTCCACAGGGTGTTGTAAGTGCAACTCGTTACCGTTTCGATATGTCGAAACCATCCCGATTCGAAAAGGAAAGGATTGCACCTTCGCTCGAAGTATTTCCTTTAATTATAGAATTTCCCTTCGAATGTCTATGTACGTTGCGCAAACGAAATTACAGCGGTTGACTTGCGTTTCTACGTCGGCTTGCCAATTTCTAGAATTGATCCTGCGGGTTGTTTCAATTCGATGGAAAAAAAAACGGACTTTTGGAATTTTAGAAATTTAGATGAAATTTCAGAATTTTTGAAATTTTTGAAACTTCGGAACGAAGAGTGCCCTTTAGGAAACTTGAAACAAAGAATGAAAGCGAATACCGGCTATTGAATGTCGGCCATAGATAACGCAGAGAATCGGGGAATTCTCTGTCTTACCAGTAGCGGATAAAACTACTTCGCTGTTCTTGATTACGAAACTGCCTGCTTTCAGGTGCTGAATCCGCTGGACGCGATCTGCAATCGTCAACGGGAAGACGCGATCTGCGTGAGCCAGCTGAAAAATGCCCGCCAAATAGACCAAGGAATTCTCCAACAACGTCCCGACGTGAAAATATTCCTGCCATTCCGTTTCCTCTTTTACAGGCCAGAAGAAGTCTTCCAGCCTCAAACGTATAATCGATTCTTGGGTAAGTCACGCGGCCGATTTTAAAATCGCGGCCACTTTCGTAGGGAACGGCCGCTCTCGGTTTCTTTCTATCAAACGATAGCTTCGTTTTTCCTTGCCGATCTGTCGCAAGCGTCCGTTTACAATTGTATCTATTAATGTCGGAATTCGTAGCCAGCCGTTTGTCATTTCGCGTTTACGCTTTCCACAGTCGCCCCGACCGGAGATCATGTAATTTCTCTCGTCGATGAAATCTCGTTCACATTTCCGCCGGCGCCTCCGCTTTCGCAAATCGACGACATCCCGCCCGAACAATTTTGCAACGGCGACAACAGGCCTGCCGACTGCGGCGCTAACTGCATGTGCACCCACCAGGTTGATATCCCGCACAACGCGGTCGTCGAAGTGGTTCTCGTCGATGAAGGTGCGATTTTTCTTCAAAATGTTTCTTTTCAAATACGTAGAAATCATAGGAGGGACATATGACGAGTCGCACTTTTTTTTCTTTTTCGTCGAAATTACGAAATCCTCCTATTCGATTTTAAAATGAAATTATTTTTTCAGCCTTCTTTTTTTTTATAAAATTTATCAAGTTTATATGACGTGCCATTATTACTTGAGCTGCAAAGTATTTCCGTTTATTTATCAAACGACGATATAAAAGTCAAAAAGTTGAAATTTGTGATATTTTGATACATAGTAATTATAAAGTGTTTATCATAGTTTTCTCTTCAATATTGCGTATTAGAATTTTACTTCGTTAAACGATCCATCAGAGTACATAAAGTCAACCTCGTGAAACAAGTATTTGATATTACCTGTTTAGAATTGCTAAGTATTAAAGTATCAAGTCCTAGAAATAAGGACTCTAATGTTGTAATACTACACATTAAATTTTCAATCAATTGATAAATATTTTATACATCAGGAAAGGGTTGGAGAAAATAACTCAATCAGGCTTGCAGAAAATAACCCAATCAATTCTTTACAGTGCAACAACCGAATCTGTCGCATCCTTTCCACTTGCACGGCTACGCTTTCAACGTAATCGGTATAGGCCGTTCTCCGGACAAGAACGTGAAGAAGATCAATCTGAAACACGCGTTGGACCTCGACAAGAGAGGCCTGCTCAATCGACAGTTCAATCTGCCACCTGCCAAGGACACTATTGCCGTTCCAAACAACGGATACGTCATTTTCCGGTTCCGTGCGGACAATCCTGGTGAGCAAAATCGCTCGATTAAAAAAGTTATTAGCACGGTATTTGAAAAGTCACTTGAAAATATCGCGAAAAGAACGTACTATTGCAATCGTTGAACACCGTTTCTTCTGTTTCCGTTCCAGGATACTGGCTGTTCCATTGTCACTTCTTGTTCCACATACTCATCGGAATGAACTTGATTCTGCACGTTGGAACCCACGCGGATCTGCCGCCAGTGCCGCCGAACTTCCCAAGATGCGGGGACCATTTACCGCCGATCACACCGCCATCGCTGTCGCTGGACTCGTTTCATTGATTCAACCTTGAGTGCGAACTGAGAAATCAGAAGGCGGTCCAAAGCACAAGACACGATACATTTCTTTAGCGTATTCCTGTAAAGTAGTCACAGTATGCTGTAGCGAATTGATTTTCGTAGATCTTCCTCTCTTTTGTCGGTGAGCGTTTCACGCGAGAACAATGGAGGAAGATAGCGAGCAAGCGAAAGAGAGAAAGAAGAGAGTGCGTGAGAGGGAGAGAACGAATGTGAGAATGAATAAAGAGAGCAAAGAAGAATCGTGGCCCTCCGAAAATTGAGGAGGTTCGCGAATCGATCGACGGGAGAATCAGCGGGAAGAGAGTTGTTCGATCCAGACGCAGCAGCTACCGATACCGCTTTTGATGCCGCAACGAGTCCAGTGATTGGCAACAGCCGATATTTATTACGTATCCTAGATGCTTTTTACTCTCCTCCGATCGAATGATTTTTCACCGCGTGGAAGAAACGTGACGAAGAAAGAATCGCGACGACGGTGATTTATTAACACGCGTACGTGGCAAAAGCATCGCGACAGCCAGCTGTCGCAAGGACTCGCGAAATTAGTTACTAACATTTGTAACTTGTGTAAATAATGTAGAAATAGTCGTGTTACACTTTAACGAGACATTAACGTGGGAGCTATTGGGGATAAAATGGCGCGCACATGGAATCATTGCGGAGACAATGCGCACAGCGTACGAGACCTTTCACCGATCGGTGAGATGGCCGATCGGTGATCATTAGAGAAACGCTGTTTAAGGAAACTCGATCCGGACGATCGTTGGCCACTTAGCACCGAGCGAAATGGCCCCGATACTCAAACGACCGAAAGCTTCGCTGGATCGAATCCAGGTTCCTAAAGTGGCCTTTTTTTCTTTTAGTTAGGAAGGGAAATTCGTGCTCGTAACTGGGACACGTGGATTTCGTTCGTGTCCTTGTTCGTGTCAGCATTTCAAGTAGTGCAATTAGAGTATATACATACTGGAGAGAAGGTAACCATTAGCTTATTACCTAATATGTGGAGGATTAAGAGAAGCAAGATAAAAAGGGGGGAAAAAAAGCACAAAAAATATTCGTAGAGGATTAGTGGTCGAGGGTTGTCGAAGAAATTTCCACGACGTAGCCACGGTTGTAGAACCAAATACTACTCACCTTTTGCGAAACACACGCGCACTAGGCCGCGTCGTTACTTCACATCTTTTCTTTTTTTCTTGTTTTTCTAGAAATCAACGATTTGCGATTCCATTCCATTATTTATTTCGCTCAGCGTGAAATTTCGACGTAAACCTCGAACGTTGTTTGACTTCTCTCGCTGCGTGCGAGTCGTTTCAATCGGTCAATCAACACCTCCTTCAATCAACACTCGATCAATTATATAAATACGTATTTTATATTCGGGCTGTACTTGTCCTTCTATTTAACGACATCGCGAATGATAATGGATATTTTATTCGTTACGTGAACAACCATTAAGCACGCAGACAGATTTCCTATCGCCACACGTATGCATATAGTATTTACGTTTATTCATGATGCTTCCATTTCTTCTTCTATAGTTTGTTCTTCTTCTTTTTTTATTCTATTGCGAAATTGGTGAATACAGTTACTCGCAACTCACAATTACAACTCTTGATGATCGTGAGAGCGATCGCGAGTCGCTCACGACGAACGCACGTACACCACGTCACGATGCTCGACGTTTCGTAGATAATATTCTTCTATTTCACTCGGCTGATATACACTCGATTCAGGACCATTGAAACACGAAATGCTCGATCGTGGCGATACTTAATCACCGACTGATTAATGAGGTATACGTCGGTTAGATGGATGTATATTATACGATGTCGCATTTCAACGATCATAGTAGTTTGTTTCACGGAAGAGAGTGTCTCTAGCGTTGAGCGATCTGACATGGAACCACCGTGATTTATTTCACGTAATTTATGGTGGCGAAGCTCTTGGCCTTTCCGTCATGGAAGGAGTAACAACCAGAGATACTCTCCTCGGTATTGTTGAAGATGGAACGTATACGCTAATCGTCGTTTCCGCTAGCCTAGGAATCTTCTTCGCGAGGCCGTGCATTCGTATCGGATAGCTTTGAATTTTCTAGAGCAGCATTCTTCGGCAAGGATAAGTTTCAAAGAACGAGGGACTGTCGTTAGTCAGACGTTCGGTCATTATTTATTTGCGAAAGACGTATCTACCGACACGATATTTTCACGTTGAAACGTGAACAATCGATCATCGTTCTCCAATATTGCTTCACTAGCATGTCACTTCTCTTACGAATACAATTTCTTTTCTCTTTTCGTTAATTTATTTATACACTTTCGATCGAAAGATCTATGACGTGCACATACACTTTTATAAGGAAATTATTTGACAGAAAGCGTGCTTTGTGTTTGACTAAAATATAAGCTGAGGAAATTACAAAGTGGAACGTTTGTAATATTAACTTGTGTGACGAAAATGCCTAAGAGAGTCAGCAGTTATTGTCCACATGGAGGGATGAGGTTTCGTGTTTTTTTTTCTTTTTTTTTTTTGTACAGGTACTATTTAAGCGAATAATTCGCGTATACTCCGTTATCAGATAAAGATGTACATTTAATAATAAATTTGTTTTTAAAAGCTCGACTACCTTCCCACTTTCGACAATTCTCGTAACCCCGTTGCGTCGTTCGCACGGAAGATTCTTTTCGTTCTTTTATCGCTGCGCTGCGTGACAAGATGTTGACCTAACTTTCTTTAAAAAGAAAAACGACCGAGAACAACAACCATGCGCAAAGTGCTAGAATACTGTTATCGTTAACGTTAACAAGTTCCGCGTTAAATGAAGTTGCAAAAGTAGCGGTACTTAGACTCGGTCAATTAAGCCAGACGAGAACAGCGCGTTTAACCCGGATGTATGATCTCTTCCGAACAACTAATGAAAGGTACATGAAACAGATTTTGTTTCAAAGTGAATCAGCTCTTCGTTTGATGAAACGTGACACTCGGATAATTTTCACGACAAAAAGTTTTCAACACTGCTATTCAATTTCATTTGATTTGATTATTTTAGGTAGATTTTTATGAGAAATCTTAAGACGCAAAAATAAAAAAAAAAGTAGAATATTTAGTAAGTAAACTAAACTCTAATCGAATTTTCATACGAGAAATAAGAAGATGCAAAAATGCACATGACGCGCGTAATGAAAGTATATAAATTGAAGAAACTTGAAATCTATTATAATATTTAGTGGCAAAAATGCAGATAATACAGGGAAGTATGTAAAATACTGAAACTAATGCTTAAATAGATTCACAAAAACGCGAATCTGTATAAACGTCCGTTTTTATATCCGAAACTTTAGACACGCGTTTCTATATGCGGTTTTATCGTAATGGAGCCTCGCGTTCGTACTTCGTATTCCATGAAGTATTTAGTATGACAAAGTATTTAGAATGACGTGCGTGCGTCTCTACGTGACTGGGCGTATTCATGAACGACTGGTATGCAGCACGCTCAAACGTCTCGGGGTCACACACTTTTGCCAATAATACCATCTTACGAGAACGAAGATTTAATTGCAGAATAACTGAGTCTATAATATTTGAAAACGGTTGAAGGTAGGTAAGTCACGCGAGCCGCAGTTTCATTCCAGCGTTCATTCACTCGCGCATCGATCTAACGTCCGCCTAACGAGGAAATTTATCGTGTTCACGCATCCGTTAAATTGGAAACGTTCCTCTCTATGAAAATCTCTTTTTTTCTTTTTCGAAATGATTTCGAAAAGAATTTTTTCGCAGAAATTTCGAAGATCGAGAGACATTCGATAGGTGTGGTAAATAAACGTCTCGAGTAGTGTTTTTTTTTTTTTTTTTCTACAATTTTACTGTATTTGAAAGAGCATATACTTGTAACTCGTTGAACATGGAATGTTTCATTGAGCTGTTACAATAAGAACTCGTGTTACCGCGAGTGAACGGAGTTGACTCTCTAGTGTCTATTCCTCGTTCCAACCAATTTCCTAGAATTCGTAGACTTTTCTTTGTACAAAGTGTAAATTTCCCTCTCAGTTTCTCTCGGACACAGCGAAGTGATTTTTCTACTTGAGTGTTCCTCGTTTCAGCTGTTTTTCTAGGTAATTTTTTCTTCTGTTTTCTCCTCCTTTGTACAAAGGAAGTGGGAATTTTGCTCGCGGCGACAATACTTGCAGTCGGACGGTACGAAAGTCATACAAGCGGATGATGAGAACGTTTCCACGTGTCGCTAGTCGCAGATGATGATGTTTCGGATCAATGGATTTATGTACAAAAGCATTCGTCTAATTCCAACTTAATCAAAATTACGATAATTGCGCAACGTAGTAAAAAAAAACAAAAAAACAAAAAAGGATGCTATGTTTATGACTATCATATGATACATATACGATCTAGTTGAAGAACCTTGTCTCTCGTACGGTGATGCTAAAAGTAAAATGAAACGTGTCATTTCATTGTAGAATCCGGATAGAAATTTCCATGTGATCTTTCTCGAAGTTCCCTGCCTCTTCGAAAGAACGGGAGTGCAACTCTATCGGGAGTCGGATTTCCGTACAAAAATACTCTTTAATGACAGGAATTACGTAGTAATATATTAGTAGTAACTATGGAGGACGCATCAAGCTACACGTATAGTCGATCCTTGGCGCGAAGAAGAATCTCGTTCGTTATTATCCTTCGTTAAGAATACAATCGAGCGTATTGTTGCAAGCGTGTCCCTACGCTTTTATTTCGAGTCAAGGATCAACCATTGTGTTATTATCTCGGCATCCACGTGATTCGTCTTTGAACAGCGTGAGCAATGACTCTATCGAATCTAGATACCCGTTACGCGTGGTTGCGTCGTTATAAAACAGCTTCAATTATGCTCGAGACATTAATCAAAATAACAGTTCGTTTTTTTTCTCTCTCTTCTCTTCTTTTTTCTTTTTTTCTTTTCTTTTTTTCTTTTTTCTTTTTTTCGTTACGTAAGTTCTCGACGTTATCGTTATTTTCCAGAATAGTGCGAGCCAATGTTCGACGGCGGCCCTCTGTGATGATGATGATGCTGCTTCTGACCTGGTCCAGAGTATCTGCTCCCTGGCCTGGAATGAACTATCGCGTAGTGATCGCTGTTCGTCGATATCGACCTCGTGGAATTCATCGTCGATCCTCCGGAAGCGTATCCTTGTTTCCCGTTTAAGGAGTATCTAAACATAGAGACACGGTGATTCAGTCGAGCGTTTGATCGTTGTTAAAAATAATCGCAATGCTACGGCGGATCGAACACGCAGACGATTAGTCACTTTGATTACAAAGAAAAGAATTAATTGGAAAATAATTAATTGGAAAAGGCGATGGTATTTTATTTAATAAGGTAACGTACGCCATCAAGTTTCGCGATCGATGCAACGAATGGGAGAATCGATTGGAAAACAAAAGCAATTGCATCGTCGTGCATTGGAAACGAGCAACGTGAAACGATCTCGCTGCGTCTCTTCGACGAACTGGCAATCGATCCGAGGTATTCCGCCGTACCGCTACCGCGTTTCAATCAATTCGAGGCACGCAAATTCCTCCACATCCTCGTTTTCTAAACATCTCAATTACGCCCCGTAACTAAAAGAAAGCCCCGGCCTCTCGCCTTCGGGGTAATTACAAGTTCCGCGGGATTTCAAGGAATTTCTCTGTTTCGTCTTTGCGTTCGTTCGTTTCCACAACGAGAAAAGTCGTGTGGGGAAGAGAAAAAGAGGAAAAGTAAAAATGGAACCTTGAGCCATATTGGGAGCCGTGCCAGCTACGATACGGATCGTAGTCCTCGATAATCGATGGCTCCTTCTCGATAATGTCCGTTCTGGTGCAGCTGCAGGTCATCGCCGAGCAGAGGAATATATTGATTATCAGCATGATGAGGAACAGAATGCCAAGAGCCACCGCCAGCCACAGCAGCCACAACGGATGAACGCTGCCGTCCTCGTACAGCGTCTGAACGGCTATCAAACAAGCGTTACATTAACGTTCTTCATTCTCCTCGGCGAACACAGAGAGTGGATTTCGAGTCTCGAAAATAGAGAAAGAAACCGCCGCGAGCGCGCGTGCTGGCTAATTAATTCAGCCAAGAGGGTAAAGGTTCGAACTCGGCGAGAGATAACGTTTAATCACGCGGTGTTATCCGGCAAGTGAAGCAGGAAGCGATGGTACGGTATGAAAAGTACGGTGCGATATTTACATGGCGTTTGACCAGGGTCAAGAACGAACACGCTCGTGCCGGCTAAGAGCACTCCTTCCTCGCCGCTCACGCTTTGCCCATTAATTAAGGACGCTCCCTTTATATCTTCCTCGTTATCGCCTTCGCAAACGGGGATACCGCAGCTTCCTGGTGGAGGAAAAGAAGATAAACCGTTTTGCGTCTCACCTGTTATCTTGCCACGCGTTATTTACCGTTCGACACTGGGCTCTCGACCCCCTCGCACCGAGAGTTGAAATCCAAACGCGAGAAACGTTTTGAAATCATCCCTCGCGAGCGTAGGACGAAGGTGATCGAACGATACCGAGACACGATTCACCGCGTTACGGGGATTGATCGGTCTGTCGGTGTCCGTTCGAAACAACGGGCCCGAGGAAAGTTTCGAGGGTATGTTCGTGTATGTCAATTGAACGGGTCGAGTCGAGTTGAACGGCACGCTGTAACCCAGATCGAAGCCCAGGTCGTAATCAGAAATCACTGAACGAATCGGTTTACCTCTGCACACGGCGATGTCGCATTGAAAATGCACCTGTGGACTGTCGGGGAACCGGAACATGGAGAACAATGTAGCATCCGCCAGGCCGGTGTTCCGATCGTAGATGAATTTCGTCATGACCCGAGCCTTTACGGGACACCTTTGTCATGGAAAAACGTACATACGTTACGCAACCCGGTTATGATCGCAAGCCATACTGACCAATGCCGCAGCGTGGAAAATTCATGTCGATTCATTACGTAATAATTTCCACCCCCGATGTGTGTACGATCGAATTATCGTTGATTCGTTCGACAAAAGCGTTGGAATCGTTTTACGTAACAAGCTCGAAACAAGATTTACACACAGTAAAACGGAAACGTTTGTACGTTGCAACTTTGATAAATGAATTCGTCGCGAGGTGCGTACAGATGAAGATAAACGGAGTGGATGTAAAACGTACCCTTTATCGTCGATCAGTTGTACGCTGGTGTTTCGTTTGTTGAACGCGAAACACGATTTTACTTTGATTCCGTACATTCCTGTAAACGAGAAAGATCGATGAGAACGCGTCAACGCGCGCCGCTCGTTCACGCGTTACGCGCGCTCGTTAATTCCAATTAAACGCAAGGGGTGAAACCGAGTGAGAGACGCCGTGTACGAACCATCTGGTCGCGAGATCTCCGCACGCAAACTGTAGTTGTGACCATAAATAGCCTCTTGCACTTTGTGGCCTCCGTCCAAAAGGCGCAATGATACCAGCGAGGTCTCGTTCCTGCGCAAAGAGAAAATTATCGCGTCGAGTATTAGGATATTAAGGTCTCTCTCTCTCTCTCTCTCTCTTTTTGCGGGCAGATATATCTGCTCGCTCTAACCGACGGATCGCTGCCCGATTCCGCAGCGATACACGACGATGATAATATTAATAAACTGTTGTATGTACTTGGCGTTTTTGAATCCAGCTTTTCCGCACGTGATCACGTAGAATTTATCGTCCGCCAGCTCTAAGGTCTTGTGTATCCTCACCGCGATGGGAATCGAGCGTTCCTCGGTGTCCTGCAAGAATTACAACGGATTACGGCGAATTCGTTGCCAGCCGGACTTTAATGAAAGTCGACAGTTTTTTTCAACGAACGAATCGAGTGTCGTCTCGATGTTATCGGCGCAAGTTGAACAAGAATTGAACGCGGTGTACCGCTCCTGATATTTCTCCGATATTGTCGTTTCGCAAACGTGATTATACAGAATTGTACGTGTTTCGCAGCGTCAGCGAAAAATTTAGAACGCGACGAGTAGATTGATAAACTTGTTGATTCATAATTTCTTTTAATATATTTATTAAAATTTATAATTCTATTAATTGATTTATTAAATTTCGATAATTGGATTTCAATTATCCGTGTAATTAGAGAGAGTGATACGAATACGCGTTTGAAGAGCGATGATGGAAATGGAGGTGATCGCTTACGTTGTTTACCAAGACGCCACAGTAATCCGGAGATCCTTTGGGAGCGAGGAGATTAATGGCGAGGGTGGCGTGTGTGGAGCCGTTACCGGGCGCCATGCACTGCGGCGTCCGGAAATCTCTGGCGTGGACAGCACCCACGAAACTTTGATTCAAGTTCACTCGTATCGTCATGTGTCCGGCCTTGCATGTCGCCGTGACTGTTGGTTGAAACTCCGTGTCCAATAACTGGCCGGTGACCTGCGACCCAACAGCAAACACATTAACTTTCCGGTAAATTGCAAGTAGTTGTCTTGATCAAACGAAACTTTGGTTCAAATTTGATTCAAATGCTGTTGACGGGATGGTTGTTTGGACGTGAAGTGGTGTTTCAGAAGCTTGCGGGCTACACAAGCGAAGTCGAAGTTGTTTTTTTTTTTTAGAATTTATCTTGAAATTGAAAATTACTCAGTTATCGTCTCTGTTATTGAAATTGGGTGACGGGGAAGAATGTAGTGTACAGAAAAGACGAAGTTGATCGATTTGAATCTCGACGAGAGTCGTTTAAAATACAACGGCAAAAATAGACATTGAGAACTAGTATTAAAACGTACATCGCGATAATCGATTTTCAATTCGAAGACCCGCTTCTTCTCTTTCTTCGTTTTCTATCCTTTACGTAGGCACAGATATATCGAAAGTTCGTGATATCGATTGAGAAACGTCCGAGAGAAAAAAAAGAAAACGACAAGAAGAGACCAAGCTGCAATTAATATTAATATACCAGGCTAATTAGTCTGCCAGCTTTAATTATACTCGGTTAATTGCCCCTTGCCCTTAAAAAATCCCAATCCAGTCCTCGGCCGTCTTTCGTCCTTCTTCGTGGTTATAAATTATTTAATTAATTACAAGCCGGGATAGCAGAAAGAATCCTCGTGATCGCGGCGGATCACGCACGAGATAACCTCTTGAAAACGATCGAAATTCATGAGTTTTCGACGCTGCTACGGCCACAACGAAAGATCGCCAATACTCTCTCGGGCCAATCGCTTGGACTTAACGTCCAAGTAAACTTGGACCGGTCTGGGCGGTAGCTATCGACCCACGCTAACTTTCAATTTCACGTGGCCTCACCACGTTTGCGCCGGCGGTATGTGGTGGACGTGTATATGTAAATGCTCATCTACTACGTGCAACGGGGACAGACTCGGATACACGCCGAACAACAAAATGAAATCGGGACGAACTAGAGACGCTACATCGAAAAGAGAGACGCTACCGATCGTCGACGAGCATCGAGCCTGTTGGAAGCGAGACAAAAGTCTGGAACGTAGGCGGTCGCAAGGCCAACGGTCCTAAATGCTTCAGTGGACTCCCTCCGCCGCGATGAAAGAGAGAAGGATCAAAAACGTGTTGGGTTACAGAAAAGGATTCCACCGTCCTCGTGGACAGCTAATCGATTATGAGGATACGTACACACACGGGTCCTTGCATCTCTCGCGATTGCTCCTTTTTCGGTCCCCGTTTCTGCATACCTCTGCTCTGCCCATCTCTCGTTGGCCACCTATTGTACTCTGTTATTCGTAGAACACCAGACGACCCGAATCACCTTTGCCTTCCTTTCGGCGTTGACGTACGAAACAGCCTTTCCAAGATCTTTTTTTACTCCTTTAGCTTCTTTCGCTCGATGACATTGTCGCATGTTGGTCAACCGCGACCTGGATCGTTACGAGGATTTTCGTAATACGTCGAAGCTAAGCCAGCCTGGTCTCATTTTCCTAGATGTCAAAACGCGACGTTCCTGCAGTTCTCGACGTTTCTGCGTTCACGGTTGCAGACCGCAACGACGAGCAACGACGAGTAACGACGAGTAACGACGAGTAAGGAACTCACTCTTTGGAGGAACTCGTGACTGCTCCGAAAAGGAACGCGCTAATTATAACCTGATTGCGAGTACACGTTTCAGTCGCAAGGCTTTACGTAATCGATACGGTAGCTCCAATTAACGAATAGTTGAATGAGAGGCCGGCACGAGGAGAGAGAAACGAGACCACGGAGGATCCTCGAGGCTGCTCGAGGCACCTCGTCGAACGCGCACCAACGAAGGACACGGGCACCGCCATTGAATTGCAACGAGAAACGCAACGGGGTCTTTTGCTAATTTTCACGATCGCCGCGGGAGTCACGGTATTCGTGTAATTACTATGATCGCTGGGCGGATCGTAGCCGCACGCAACATTTGATCCTGGCACGAACAACGATCCTTTGTACGTCGGTGTGCCTGTTCACGTACGGGTTCATGCAGAACCCGATGGTCGCGTGCTAGACGTTAATACAAGCGGACGTTGGACGTTGTCGCGTTGAGCGTTGCTTTCTTCCCGCGGACGAGACGAGAAAAACTTGGTTGCACGCTCGTGCCACGGAACACGCCCCGTGTTGTTCAACGTCTGATGCAATCGATCGCTGAATCGCTCGACGAACAGTGGGCAGAAGAAGAGAATAAGGGTGACATCACGGAACCGAAGCAAGCTGCTTACATAAACGAAAGTTAGACGGCGGTCCAAGTCGACCGTGCGTTGGTTAGATAACATCTGGAAGCTCCATGTGTCGCGGTTCGTTGGCGAATTTCACGTGGGTACACGAGGTACACGTACCGGAGGCGAGTATCGAGCGAGGCTCGAGCGGATCGCCGATCGATGTAACTCGCTAACGAGCGATTTTACTCGTCGACGGGGAAAGCAACAATTAGCCGGCGCGGACGCGCGACGACCGGTCACGGAATAGAATAATTCATGTACAAGGAACCGTGGCGGACAAGTGGCCACTTAGTAATTCGCCACGATAGAATGCACGCTATCGACAATCAAGACCCGACCGTCGATAAATCAATGGATTTTTTTCTCCCCTCTCCCTCCTTCGTATATACACGGGGCGAAACTCGTGAATAAAGTGTCGTCATCGCTGTACGTGTGTATGTACGCGCGAGAGCGCGAATTTTACGCGTGGATAGCGGCAATGTATCAAGATTTAATCCGGCCGCCTCGTGGCCGCAATGTTTCAACACATTCCGATAGTACACACCCATAGGCGAGTATGCGAACGAACAAGGAACGAGGGCGGAATAGTATCGACTGTGAAGCGGCCGCGATTTTTTCCCAAATCGAATGAAATATATTGGCGGACTTATCGAAACGTCGGACATACGCGAACGTTCGCTTCGCCGTATCGGTTTTATTAAAATACGCGAATAGACGTATATACAGGGTGCCGAGTGCGCGCGCACACCACCGTTAAACCGTGAAACTTCTGCTTGCAGCGAGATAAAAGACGCTTGAAAAGAAAGTTCTCGCCGATCTCTCGCGTTGGATAGCCGCGTTTTATCGGGATTCGTCATTCTTTTTTGTCGTTTCTTTGCCGGAGAACTAGGAGTCGCGTATCATAGTTTTCGATTCGAGCTCGCGGGCATGGCTGGAGGATAGATCGTGATGTTATTCAGTGTTCTTTTGATTTTTCTTTTGTTTCTTTTTTTGTTTTCTTTTCATTACAGTGGAACTTTGTCCGTGGCAATACAAACAGACAATTCGTACACAGTGATTTATTACTTGAGACGAAAATATATTAATTATAGATCACATTTCTTTCTCAACGTTATAACATGTGTATAATTTGTATATTTCAATAAGTCGTATTTATTGTTCCGAAACAGAAGAGCACTTCCTCCAAATCGAGTCTACTGAACATTTACTCAATCTGACGAAGTTACTCGATCTAGTATTAGTTTCAATGTCATATATCCACGAAAGGCTTGTATCTCGTAAGTATCCAAGTATATCGGTGAGTCATTGTACCTAGAATCTGTGCAATAGAAATTCTCCTCGCCATCTACGATTCTTCATTCGTATAATATAATGTACGGACATTCGGATGAGCGAACTCGGCCGACAAAAATTCGTTCAATCGAGAAAATCGTTTTGAATCTGGTTTTAAGTGAAGTTTTACGATATTCTAAAATATGACATGATTGTCGTTATTAGCTCGTAGAGGTAAATAAATAAATACACCGACGATCGTTTTCTGATTTAATGGGAGGTCTTCGAGGCAGAAAGTTATAACGAAGCTCCGGAAAAATACTAAACGCGTGGCGAGCAACACGTGGTACGGCCGAGTAATTGAAAAATACGAGGAAGTCACGTCTACGCGGAACAATGCTGCTGTGTCACACTCGCGAACTGTAATATACAACACTACGCCGGCCATCCTGAGGAAGCAAGTTTCAAGAAACAGCTTGCAGTAATTGTTTACGTGCCTCGGGACCTTCTTTCACGTTCGATGTACCATTGTCTTTTCGTGAAAAGAATCGCTGTCTCTCAATACGCTGTCTGCCAACTGGTATGGACTCGGAACTTGAAAGAGAAATACGTCGCTCTTTCACCTCTCATCGCTTGAATTCTTTAAATGCTCGAGAGTGCAGAACGTTTCGGAAAGGGACGATCGGAAACTTGGAAAAAAAAAAAAAAAAAGGAGAAACATAAGAATTGCATACAGCAAGTACGCTGTACGATGCTTTAAAATCTGTGGCGAAAGGAGGATCTCGACGTACCCGCCATTAATTAATTTTCTTCGGCAGCAAGAACAGTACGAGAACAATAATGAGAAGAGCACCAGCGTGAAAGCAGAGTACCAAACCGTGGAATTAAATCAGTGGAGATTTCGAACGCCTTTTTCGTAAACGAACGAAGCCGATCTCACGAGCTGATTTCACTTACATGGAAAATCCGTGGCATCTGCGTGCCAGAATTGTCGACTACGCGTCGAGAATTCTTCTCTCCGTGCTCCACTTTATAGCTGTAATCCTTCAAAGATTCTTCATTCGCATGTACGAGCAAACTCGAAGAACGTACACTTCCGATTAATATATAGTTCGGGCCTTGCCCGAAGCACGCGAATTATAGTATTACGAGAAGAGGAACGTCCCCGAAGCTAACGTAGCAAACGTGCAACACCTTCGAACGATAAAATTACGTATAAAGAAAGCTACCGAGACATTAATACAACAATTACGACGTTATCATATGAGTTACTTTTTTCGTTCCTCTTTTTTTCTTTTTTTTTTCTTCTCTCTCTCTCTCTCTCTCTCTCTCTCTCTCTCTTTCTCTCTCTGCGATTGCCACTGGCAGAGCTCTCAGGCGATTGTCAATGCGAACTGGCTGCACGGACGCTCGATACACGCAACATAGAAAGCGCATTCTTTGGCCAGAGGG